AAATACTATATACAATTATTTGAATTATTAAACTATTATATATAATTGTTCGTAGAATAATATATGTAAATAATTGTATAAAATTATGATAAGTTTATGTAATATAAAATTTATATTAAAATTGTAATTAATAAATTCATATGAATTTAAAATCACTGCATATTGAATTATGAAAATAATTAAATGCAATTAGTATATAATATATCTAAAGTAACTTGGAATACATACATTTTACAATTGCGTATGTGTAAAGGAGTAGATTTAACCTGCTCCATTATTTCCCAGTAATATAAATGTATTTATGCGATGCAACCCATACATATCTGGATGTAAGGCATGCTGGAATACACAGGAGCACTACAGCATGGGAATCCACGTGCTTTCGCCATACTACACCATCGCTGTGGCGCCACAGGAAAAACAACAACCTCTCCCCTCCCTGATTCCCTTCGTCACGTGGGCACAGCCGTGGAGAGGCTAACCGGCTGCCTCAGGCATCGAGGGGGAGGGGAGCGAGTGAATTAGTGCGTGTTTTCATGTGCGCTTATTTGAGTGAATGGATGCAATAATCCAGTTATGTATGTGCTAAGTATACGCAGAATTGAACCTAATGTGAGAATATTGCCAGAAGAGCCACACTTAACGTAGCAGCATTGTCTAAAATCAAATTTACAGAGGCTTAGCCAATGATTTATGCTTTTCAGCCTTTACAATGCACATTTACTGATCATTTTCCAAATGGCAAGTGTGGAACGTTGTGATATCTGTTAATGTATGCTCAAGAATGAGTAATGTGTGCGTGCTTGTGATACATCATGCAGTGTCACTCTTACGCAGCATCACTTACATCCTTGTCTGCAGTTTTAACTTGACCTAAATTTCCTGGGGCGTGCCGCCACGTCGCATTAGCCAACTATGGTATCAGTGTTCTGATTTCACCCCAACCCTTTAAATCCCACCAAATTGATCAGAAAATGGGGGAGCAGATACCCTTCATCCACCCCCAAAAACTTGCATGACCTGCTTGACCAAACGTTTATTTAACGTTATGTGTTAAATAAAACTAAGGAATCAGAAGGGTGATAAATGAGGGAAGAGGAAGCGTGTGTTTGTTTGTGATTTGTAGCTCCGCCCACGCTGGACACACTGGAGTAAACAGCCGCTTTAATGCCCTCTTTAAGCATGTTAAGGCAAAAATCAAAACAAATTGCTGGATAAGCCAATGAGGTTGCGGTGCATTTGTAGGATATCAGCTATTGGTGCATCCGGGCTGAGTGTAACTGCAACAAACAACAGTCAAATGACAACCGTGACATTTGTAGCTTTTTACATCACGAGCACTGACAAATAGTGACAAACAAACAGCACAGTGTTACTGATGATCACTTACAATTGTTATCATTTAAAATATTTGCATAAGTCTCAAGTAGGTGGTGGTGCATGGTGATAACCGGAGAGGTTCAGAGTAGGATTTTTGGTTAATCTCTCCTGCAATAGGACATCTTAGGCGGCACTGTACCTCTCACGATCAAAGCCAGAAACCATGGCAACCGAATATCATAAGCCAAAACAGGGCACCTCATCTGAAATGTTGGGAGAAGGAATTTTAAGCGGCCCTGTTCCAAATGTTCAAAGTCTGTTTAATCGAAAAACCTGCGTCACTTCCATTCCTGAAGCTGCTGTGATTATCATAATCTTTCAAAAAAGGTCCTTTTCTGTAAAGTCAAGCCTCAAACGAGTTACACCTAAAGAAAGAAAATTGAGGGACAGAACTTGATGTATCCTGCCTCGTATCGTCCATGCTTCGGAAAACAGCAGAATTGGAAAGAATTTGTGTATCTTGGTGTCTTTCTTTCACTGTGAAGATCTAAGAAAGTCATTTGGTGCAAGACAAGCACAGGAAGTGTAGTCTCTGCATACAGATTAACACAGGCTGTGGCACTTTCACAGCCTGAAAATGAAGTTTGCGTGCGTGAGAAATACAGTCTCTGACCCCCTTTTCTGAGCACTTTTCTGTCCTTTTGTCATTGGATCACTCACCACAATCAAATCAAACATTTATTGACATTATTTGAGGTGTTATTTGACATTTACAAAAATAAGCAACCGCTTGTTTCAATTTCTTTCGTTTTCTTAATTCTGAGTAAGTGTGTGGTGGTCAGGAGAGCTGTTTATGCAGAGTATGAGGGGTGGGGAACTGTCAAAATGAGATGGGATTTTTGGGGGTGTATATGGCACAAGGTGGATTTGCGCCTTAAGAGCCTTGAGTTCCTTTTTTAGGCACAGAGCACCCTCTGCTGACAGCAAGGAAGGTGTGTGCAGAGGGCCACTCCCTATTCTCTGGGTAAAAAATAAAATAAAGTAAAAATAAAACTCCAGCATCTCTGTGATCCTAAATAGGACAAATGGTTAGGACGGAGAATGTAAAGAAATGGGGAAATAAAATAAAATAATAAAATATTTATTACATGTACAATAAATTTATGTACAAAAACATTATTCAATATTTAATTTAATTAATTGAATTTTTTAATGCTTGCAACCTGAGATAGGCTACAGAATCCTTGTCACCCTACAAAGACCAAGCAGTTGTCAAAATGGATGAGAGAGAAACAAATAAATAAAAAAGTTAAATAAAAAACAGCATTTTAGAAATGTAATATTTATTGCAATTAATATTTCACATCCAGAAAATACTAATACCCACAATTCTTTTTCTTATAGAGATGTAAATATCATAATGAGGTTAGAAAAGGGTAAAGGAAAGTACAAAGTTTAAAAAGAACAATCGTTTTTTACATTTTTTTATATTACCCATGGGGAAATTATTGGACTGATGAAGCGGAAACATTAAGACCAGTAGCAATGTATTAAGAACAACAAAGTAAGCAGCACTACCAACCAGCACCATTTTTACTGCATAGACTGAAGGATGGCTTTATAAAACTTTATAAAAGATGGTCAATGGAGAATGATTTTGACATGTATACAGCAGGGGAATGACACATCTGTAAAATGCCTGTGGTATGCATGGGTGGGTGGTAAGTGCAGTGTATACATGACACACAGTAAATGAAAGGGGAGCTAACCCAATGAATATTTAACTAATCCTTCCACTCCCTTCAGCTGCATCAACATGTCTCTTAGAGCAGGCGCTGACTGACTCAAAATGCACACTGCCATCCTTCTCATACTTAAAAGATGTCTCAGATCTCTAGGCAGTGGCTGTGTCTGCTCTCTCAGCACCACTTTACTTCATGTCATGTCTTAAAAGAGCAATTATTGCCAAAGGTCAATGGAAAAGCAAAAGTGCACTTAAAAACACACCGGCATCCAAATTCAAACTGTAATATGTATATTTAGCTTTGTTCAATTGAAACTTCTTGTCATTTAGTTATCTTCTACATAGTAATTTATAGATTTGGGGGAAATAACTTTAAAATGTATGCATTTATTATGAATTTATGTGCCCACCCCAGAATAGCCAAATTTTGGATTTTGCTAAAAAAAAAAAGATATTTGAGGAAAAATAACCATGTATAGTGATGAAAGCCAAAATATTAAAGGGCAATGGGTGAATATTTACTGAGTAATCCACTATCTTGTTGAGGGGGGTCGAAAATGGCAGTTTTAACCTGAGATTCAGAGACAAATTACAGGGGGTTAAAATGACTTCAGAAAGATGGCAGCATCCTTATATTATTTTTACACAGAGATTTGTAGGTCTGTTAGTAAAATCTGTTGACTTTAGCAATCTTTGTTGCAATATGTGCCAATGGTGACCATTCAAACATGGGGAAAGATCACTTTTCAATTTTTTTCTCCAAAGTTTGCAGGCCTGTAACTCAAAAGGTCTTGAAGATATCTTAATGCCCTTTTAGATATTCAGTCTTAACAAGCTTCCCTTCATATGGTTAGGTTCCAGAGATATTGGAATTTCAATATGGCTCCAGGAGCAAATAGTTAAATTGTACACATTTTCAGTGGTCAAAAACCAAATTTGGGTCACTTGGCAAAAATGTGATACTTCTTTTCTTTTAAAGAGCAATGTCTGAAGAACAAATAATGTTGAAACTATAAATGTATCTTGTTTCATTCTGTTAAAACAACTGCATTGAACATACCTGTCTGAGTGCCACAAGTATTCTTTTTCCAAAGTTTGCGTGCCTATAACTGAAGAAGTATTAAAGATATTGCAATATAATTTTAGCCTCAAGTTCTTAATAAACTTTTCTTTTGGAATCTACATTTTCAAGGCCCTACATCATTCAGTCCCAGCGATATGGGGACCTCAATGAGGCTCAATGTCCAGATTGTTGAATAATACCCATTTTCAGTGGTTGAAAACCAAATGTTGGTCACTTTGTATACAGACAATACTTATTTTATTTAAAGAGCAATGTCTGAAGAATTAATAATGTTAAAACTAGAAATGCATCTTGTTTCCCTCTATTAAAACTATTGTATAGGACATACCTGTTTGAGTGTCATAAATATTATTTTTTCCAAAATTTGCGTGCCTGTAACTTAGATGGTCTTAAAGTCGTCTTAATATGATTTTAGATTCTGGTTCCTAAGAAAATGTTCTTTTGGAATCTTCATTATTAAGCCCCTGTACGGTTTAATCCTAGAGATACTGAGATCTCGGTGCAGCTCCATGTACAAATTGTTGTATCCTATCCATTTTCAATGGTCAAAAACCAAATGTGGTTTTGTGTTTATCTAGTCATCACTGTTGACACTGTCAAATATGCAAATAATAACAGTAACCCAGGGTTTAGGAATGTACAGAGTGATATGTCAGATTATGAATGGGGATGAATAGGGATGCTCCGATCCGCCTTTTTCACTTCTTATATACGGGTGTGGAACTGATAATCATTCTTTCACAATCTACTAAATACAGACTACTTCATTATAAAGATTATAAAGATCAAGTCAAAAGTGAGTAGATTCTAACTAACTTAAACATCTCTAATTGGCCATTGTGTTCATGCATTAGAACAGGGGCGGTTTCTCCATTAGGGCGATTGGGCGACGCACCACCAAAGTGCGAAAGGGAGGGATTTTTTTTCTTTCACATTCAACCACAGTGTTACACTAGCTTTCACTATTCTAGACTGTTTGTTCTGCCTCTACATAGTCCAATCCCACCCCAGAATAGCCAAATTTTGGATTTTGCTAAAAAAAAAAAGATATTTGAGGAAAAATAACCATGTATAGTGATGAAAGCCAAAATATTAAAGGGCAATGGGTGAATATTTACTGAGTAATCCACTATCTTGTTGAGGGGGGTCGAAAATGGCAGTTTTAACCTGAGATTCAGAGACAAATTACAGGGGGTTAAAATGACTTCAGAAAGATGGCAGCATCCTTATATTATTTTTACACAGAGATTTGTAGGTCTGTTAGTAAAATCTGTTGACTTTAGCAATCTTTGTTGCAATATGTGCCAATGGTGACCATTCAAACATGGGGAAAGATCACTTTTCAATTTTTTTCTCCAAAGTTTGCAGGCCTGTAACTCAAAAGGTCTTGAAGATATCTTAATGCCCTTTTAGATATTCAGTCTTAACAAGCTTCCCTTCATATGGTTAGGTTCCAGAGATATTGGAATTTCAATATGGCTCCAGGAGCAAATAGTTAAATTGTACACATTTTCAGTGGTCAAAAACCAAATTTGGGTCACTTGGCAAAAATGTGATACTTCTTTTCTTTTAAAGAGCAATGTCTGAAGAACAAATAATGTTGAAACTATAAATGTATCTTGTTTCATTCTGTTAAAACAACTGCATTGAACATACCTGTCTGAGTGCCACAAGTATTCTTTTTCCAAAGTTTGCGTGCCTATAACTGAAGAAGTATTAAAGATATTGCAATATAATTTTAGCCTCAAGTTCTTAATAAACTTTTCTTTTGGAATCTACATTTTCAAGGCCCTACATCATTCAGTCCCAGCGATATGGGGACCTCAATGAGGCTCAATGTCCAGATTGTTGAATAATACCCATTTTCAGTGGTTGAAAACCAAATGTTGGTCACTTTGTATACAGACAATACTTATTTTATTTAAAGAGCAATGTCTGAAGAATTAATAATGTTAAAACTAGAAATGCATCTTGTTTCCCTCTATTAAAACTATTGTATAGGACATACCTGTTTGAGTGTCATAAATATTATTTTTTCCAAAATTTGCGTGCCTGTAACTTAGATGGTCTTAAAGTCGTCTTAATATGATTTTAGATTCTGGTTCCTAAGAAAATGTTCTTTTGGAATCTTCATTATTAAGCCCCTGTACGGTTTAATCCTAGAGATACTGAGATCTCGGTGCAGCTCCATGTACAAATTGTTGTATCCTATCCATTTTCAATGGTCAAAAACCAAATGTGGTTTTGTGTTTATCTAGTCATCACTGTTGACACTGTCAAATATGCAAATAATAACAGTAACCCAGGGTTTAGGAATGTACAGAGTGATATGTCAGATTATGAATGGGGATGAATAGGGATGCTCCGATCCGCCTTTTTCACTTCCGATACCGATTCCGATACCTAGGGTTTAGTATTGGCTGATACCGATACCAGTGAAGTTTTTTTTATTTTTTTTATTTAAATAAATGTAGAATTTATATACGGTATTTCTGTGTGTGGAACTGATAATCATTCTTTCACAATCTACTAAATACAGACTACTTCATTATAAAGAAAAATAAACAATAAATATGAAAAAATATATGTATATTCATAATCTATGAAAAAAAAATCATAAACTAGGTTAGTGGATAATTCGGCAGCAAAAGTTATTCTAGAAAAATCAGTGCACAATTTTAGAAATCCAAACATTTAGTGAAAAAACTATTTTGTGGGAAACAAATAAAAGTGTTGCACTAAATATGGTAACATGTAACACATTGCTATTTGTATTATAAAATCCATTCATGGATTTATTTATGGATGTATTTATGTACAAGTATATACTATATGATTAAAATACATTTCTTTTAAATGTATAGCATATTTTTTAATAAGGCAACAACATATGATAGATTCGATAGGACAAAACAAATACAGTGCAGCACGAAGCGCTTACAATATGCGCATCCAGTGTGCAGAATGATGCGCTTGAAGCAACATGGAGTCACAGCACGCAGCACTTTGCATTAAAAAGTGCAAAGCACAAAGGGAAGAGAAATTGATGCATAGTTTATTATATCTGTGCAACAGTTATTGAGCCTTTCTTTTAACAGTTTTAAATTTCAGTTACTGTGCGCGTTAAAAACAATTTATAGTCTTTTCTACGCCCGTGTTTTGTTCTCACAGACACCCGGTAGCAAGTAAT